TAGATACTCAATATGATACTATGTACTGTGCAAAACAAAGCATACATGGCTAAACTCACAAACTAGTATTAGTCACTAGCCATAAACCATTACCTCACAATTTGTAATATTTTAAATAAGAATTAAACTAAGTCTGCCCAAAATGCTCTAGCCATGCTAGGCGTTCTAGTTACACTCTGTAACATTATTAACTAATAAACACACAACAACCAAATTCTGTAATTCCATTGTAATCTTTAAGGAATAAACTTTGATTTGATTGAACTAAAAAGTATAAACATAAAATTAGTGTAATTGATAATGAAAACAGCAAATGTATTTTCCTGTTTAGATGCATAATGATGGATCTCAAGTACTGGGGAAGGTTGTAGCAGCAGAACGTCTCAGATGCTCAGCGCATGGAATGGCCACAAAGATCTGTCAACTGCTGATAAATATCGATGTTCGCAAAAACAACAGACATTCTCAGCTAACCTGGGAAAAAGAGTATTTAGATGTAAGGTTATTGGTTGGTATAAACAAGATATAAAACTGTTACTAACTACTGTGTTTAGTTAACTAGAATAGTTAACCAAACTCATACAGTATATTCATTGAGTGTACATGGATTTATATGCATTGTTATTTATTAAAAATACATAATAAATGTTTATAAATTTTAAATTCTATGATTATTTTTTGCTATTCTTGTGTATAAAATAGTTCAATTTGATAACTGACTAATTTAAATAACTTAACTTAAAATGGGGTCGAGAAAGAGGTAAGAGCAGCCTTGTATAGTTAGACTAAAATTTGTGGAAGTATAGAAATATAAACACATGGAAATATAAACACACATGCAGTATAATGTGATCCTTTATTGACAACGTTTTGCCCACACACTGGGCTTTTTCAAGTCATAAACAGATCTACCTGGGGTGGAAGGTACGCGAGTATTTATAGTCAGGTTCAGAATGTTGATGTCAGGTGGAGAATGCTGCATCTGATGGTTTACCGAGTGGGGTTATAGAGTCTAAAATCTTGGGTAGCTTGGAAGGGAGATTGGATAAGGTTGTGAGCAGACCTTCTGCAGTGTTCTTCCATTCCTATGCTCTTATGTGGGATAGCGATGAAGAAGTTTCTTGGCAAGTGGTTCAGCTATGTTGTAGAAGCCATTATTCTGGTTGAAGTTGTTGGATATAGAGATAAGCGATGATTCCAGGATTCTTCGGTATTGAGTGTTGTCTTTTGTGGCGATACGTCTTATTCTGTAGTTATTAAGTGGTTGTGTGAAATACGGTGTTGAAAACAGGCATTCCTGTATCGTCAGACCTGCTTTGCGTATTGGTGTTCTGAAATACGTGTTTGGAGGTCCCTTGATGTTTCGCCACGTATAATTTGCTGCAGTCATTACAAGGGATTATGTATACCCTGCAAAGATGGAAGCTTGTCCTGTCTATTACTGGTAATGTCCTTGATGGTCGTGGTTGTGGAGGTAGATACTTGGAATGAGGTATTGGTAAGATGTTGGAAACGTGTTTGGCAATGGAGTTGGTGGGGGAGGAACTATGTATCTCTTCTCGGCAGTATCTTCTCTGGTGTGTTGAAGATGTTTAATGCCGTCGTCTGCAGTCTCTGATGAAGTGGCGAGGATAGTGGAGTTTAGAAAATACTTGTTCAATTATAGTGCATTCTTCCTCAAGAAACTCATTGCTGCAGATTCTGAGTGCATGCAGGAAGAAGCCTAAATTACACCACGTTTAGTTTTGGTGTCATGGTGAGAGTAGAAGTGGAGAAGATCGTTTTTTTTTTTTGGTGGGTTTTCGATAGACTTTAAAACGAAGTTCATGGTCAGCTTTGCAGAGAAGAACATCAAGGAAAGGAAGAGTGTTGTCGACTTCTTCTTCAAGTGTGAACTGGATTGAAGGCTCGACCTGGTTGAGCTTGTCTTGGAGAGCTTGAACATTGAAGCGTCTAGGAGTTATGAAGAGAATGTCGTCAACATAACGGAGCCAGGTGACAGACGAAGGAATAATTGTGGAGAAACGCTCGGCTTCTAGATGTTCCATGTATAGGTTCGCCAGGACCACACTGAGTGGCGAACCTTCAACGTTCAAGCTCTCCAAGACAAGCTCACAAAAGACAACACTCAATACTGAAGAATCCTGGAATCATCACTTATCTTTATATCTGACAACTTCAACCAGAATAATGGCTTCTACAACATAACTGAATCACTTGCCAAGAAACTTCTTCATCGCTATCCCACATAAGAACATAGGAATGGAAGAACACTGCAGAAGGTCTGCTCACAAACTTATCCAATCTCCCTTCCAAGCTACCCAAGATTTTAGACTCTATAACCCCACTCGGTACATCATCAGATGCAGCATTCTCCACCTGACCTCAACATTCTGAACCTGACTATAAATACTCACATACCTTCCACCCCAGGTAGATCTGTTTGTGACTTGAAAAAGCCCATTGTGTGGGCGAAACGTTGTCAATAAAGGATCACATTATAATGCATGTGTGTTTATATTTCCATTGTGTCGGTATTTTATACCATTTATTTCCATTGTGGAAGTATAGGAGACTCCAAAAGTGTATGTAATGTTAGTAAAAGGTAATAGTGGTGATGAAACTATTATAGACAGTATGTGTACTACTACTATGAGGCCTGGTCATAGACTGAGCTGCGGGGGCGTTGATCCCCTAAACCCTCTCCAGGTATACTGAATAGGATATGTGCTACAGTATATAAATAACCCACACCTAGGAGACTGAAACTTATGACCTCCTCCTCATGATATCATGCATTAAAATGATTTTTGGAACATTTTGAAAACGTATTTTAGGAATAAATAATTAGGTGCTATAATTTTTTTCTGTGATGTAAAACAAGTAAATGAAGGATTGAGGTAAATTGATGTAAGTGTTAGGAGCAGGATAAGGTTGTGTGGTGTTTCTATGACATTGTAATATACACTACAGTGGAACTTCTAATATCCTTATTTGTTTTGGTGAGCCTAATTGAATCTAACCTAGTCTAAACCAGTCCTAACCTGAGTGTCCTGTTTTGCACTTTTACTGAGGATGGGGGGTTCTCCAAATAGGTTATGACCTAGGGGACTTTGTTCCACGGCATTTTCTCCTAAGTTTTTTTTTTTTTTTTTTTTTTTCATATTTCCTTTACACCGGCTGCAAAAAAATGTGCTGGCAAGTGTGTTATTGTGTCTGGGTGAATGGATGGAGGAGGTGGGGTGGTTTGAGTATGGAAAGAAATTAACCCTTTGACTGTCGCAGGCCCCTTTCTGAAACTGTCTTGACGAGGCGTGGAGTTAAAAGATAAAGAATCACACACAAAGTGGGAGTTGTCACAGCTGCTCTTTGCTGATGACACTGTGCTCTTGGGAGATTCTGAAGAGAAGTTGCAGAGATTGGTGGATGAATTTGGTAGGGTGTGCAAAAGAAGAAAATTAAAGGTGAATACAGGAAAGAGTAAGGTTATGAGGATAACAAAAAGATTAGGTGATGAAAGATTGAATATCAGATTGGAGGGAGAGAATATGGAGGAGGTGAATGTATTCAGATATTTGGGAGTGGACGTGTCAGCGGATGGGTCTATGAAAGATGAGGTGAATCATAGAATTGATGAGGGAAAAAGAGTGAGTGTGCACTTAGGAGTCTGTGGAGACAAAGAACTTTGTCCTTGGAGGCAAAGAGGGGAATGTATGAGAGTATAGTTTTACCAACACTCTTATATGGGTGTGAAGCATGGGTGATGAATGTTGCAGCGAGGAGAAGGCTGGAGGCAGTGGAGATGTCATGTCTGAGGGCAATGTGTGGTGTGAATATAATGCAGAGAATTCGTAGTTTGGAAGTTAGGAGGAGGTGCGGGATTACCAAAACTGTTGTCAGAGGGCTGAGGAAGGGTTGTTGAGGTGGTTCGGACATGTAGAGAGAATGGAGCGAAACAGAATGACTTCAAGACTGTATAGTCTGTAGTGGAAGGAAGGCGGGGGTAGGGGTCGGCCTAGGAAAGGTTGGAGAGAGGGGGGTAAAGGAGGTTTTGTGTGCGAGGGGCTTGGACTTCCAGCAGGTATGCGTGAGCGTGTTTGATAGGAGTGAATGGAGACAAATGGTTTTTAATACTTGACGTGCTGTTGGAGTGTGAGCAAAGTAACATTTATGAAGGGGTTCGGGGAAAACCGGCAGGCCGGAGAGGGGGAAGTACAGTGCCTGCACTCTGAAGGAGGGGTGTTAATGTTGCAGTTTAAAAACTGTAGTGTAAAGCACCCTTCTGGCAAGACAGTGATGGAGTGAATGATGGTGAAAGTTTTTCTTTTTCGGGCCACCCTGCCTTGGTGGGAATCGGCCAGTGTGATAATAAATAAAAAAAAAAAAATTTTTGGAAAAAAAATAAATTATGTTTTCTTAGGAAATGATAGAGAATCTTTTCCCGATGGTAATGACACCAAAAGTACAAAATTTGGTCGAAAACTCACGGAATTACACTCCCGCAAAGTTAGCAGTCTCGGCGACATATACGCATCAGCGATTTCGCCGAATTTGAGCCTTTTTTTTGGCCGATTCCGTTGTTCCAGTTGACCAAACTCATAGCTGTTTCTTTAGAACTCCATTTTGTCTATCTGTTGAGTACAAGAAACCGCCCATTTACCAATTTGAACTACCCAATAAAGTGGTCAAAAATTGGCAATTTGGCCAGTTTCATGCAAATTAAAAAGGATGCCAATTTCAAAATAGGGTCTAGAATAAACAATGTAGACATTCTTGGCACTAAAATAACATATCTTCTGTTCATTAGTCACGTCTCCAGGCCCTTCTTATATTACTCTTGCTTTCTATTTTGATTTTTTATTCATACAAAAAAATACTTGGTTATAGAATTTGTTTGTAATGACAAAGTGGCAGTATTACTGTATGGTGAATACTGAATCATACATATTTATTACTTTTAAAATGATGCACATGTTAACTAAAATTTATGTCTTTTTCAGCCCACATTTCTTCAAGCAGATCAAGATTTCTGCTTTGGCTCTGTTGAAGATGGTGATGCATGCCCGATCAGGAGGAACTCTTGAGGTTTGTCTTAATTATAGTTCTTATACTGTACATATTTTCATTATTACTTTTGTATTATGTATATTATGTATTCCAGGCTTACTCTTCGGTTTTCTGCAAGAACAAATCACAGTCATCACAAATCAAAAAAAAGCTTGCCCTTAAAAAAAGTAACGAAATACAATTGAGCGTGCCGTTTACAAATGAGATAAATATGCCACTTCAGTTTTTTTTTTTTAATATACTGGCCCTCTGTGAGGAATGGTGACAACCCCCCCCCCCCTCTCCCGAAAAAAAAAGGAAACCCATTTACCATTACTAATTCTATAAATTTCTTGCTAGAAATGTTTGTATATTACAATTCAAATGACCCTCCAAACTGCAACATCTCCACCTTTGCTTCAGAGTATGGCACTGTACTTCCCACCTCCAGGACTCGACTCCAGCTAACCAGTTTCCCTGAATCCCTTCATTAATGTTACTTTGCTCAAACTCCGATAGCACATCATGCCATAAAGCCCCACTTGTCTGAGCTCTGGTCTAGTTATGTTCACACAAGCTTGTTGAGTATTCAAGCCCCCTAGCACTTAAAATCTTATTTATCCCATCCCTCCAACCCTTCTTGTTATGACCCTCATATCATCCACCCTAGATTTATATACCCTCATCCTCTTCTCCTCCATCCTCAGAATGCCCAAATCATCTCAACCCCTCCTTATATTATTGGTAGCCTCACACAATCTTTTAATACTGTATATTTGTTGGAATTTCTTTATATGCCTTGTGTGATACATTACTAAGATTTATTTGGGAATGTAAGTCTGAGTGATTGGGGCCTAAAGGGTCTAGAACTAAACCCCATCCTCCCCCCACTTCCCTCTTACACATCTGTACATATGTAATTAGGTATGCTATTCCATTCTGTTGAACATTTTGTACAGTATATGGTAACAGGTTCTTTATAGTTATAGATTAAAATTTCAGCATACTAATGCTTAAGTATTCAATTTGCAGGTTATGGGTCTCATGCTTGGCAAGGTAGACGGACCAACAATGATTGTAATGGACTCCTTTGCCTTGCCAGTGGAAGGTACTGAGACGAGAGTCAATGCTCAGGCACAAGCTTATGAGTATATGACAGGTTATGTAGAGGCTGCTAAACAGGTTTGCTATTTTTTATTTAATATTATTACTGTACGAACATTTATATCAGAAGTGCAGCTGCAACAGTTTAATGATTTTGGTAGTAGTGAAAAATCCTAAACCACTCAGAGTGAGGTTTTAAACAAATTCCAGAACATGCAAATGTGTTTTATGCAAAAAGCTGCACAAGCAAAAATACTAAAAAGGCTTATTTCATGCTCTTGTCTCAAAAATGTCACTGACAATGGTTTCCAGCTTTTCATGAGCAATTCCCAAAATTCATTGAATCATAATACAATTATTTTTCAAATTGCTTTAATCCTGGGCACTGCATACTATATTTCTGTCTTGTAGTTTATTATTTTCAAAGTTTAGATCATCTCCACAAAGTATATTTCAAATTTATTTTTGTGAAATTGTACACACAGCAGTATTGGCATTTTCAGTACAGTACTAGGCATCAAAATACCAAGCAATGTCTTTTATCATTTTTTCCTTGGCATGGGTGATGATACTGTACATACATGGATTAATTTCACCTGCCAGTGATACGTGGTGTAAAGTAGGATAAAAAAAATCGCCCTAATACAGTGGACCCCCGGTTAACGAACTTTTTTCATTCCAGTAGTATGTTCAGGTGCCATTACTGACCGAATTTTTTCCCATAAGGAATATTGTGAAGTAGATTAGTCCATTTCAGACCCCCAAACATACACGTACACACGCACTTACATAAATACACTTACATAATTGGTCGCATTTGGAGGTGATCGTTAAGCGGGGGTCCACTGTACTTATAAATGCTTACTCATAAGTAAGTACAATACAGTAATCAATTGTATTGATGTGATGGATGATGCTTATGTCAATCTCTTGAAAATCCATATTTTTTCCTCTATTGTCACTGGACTTTGGCTTAGAGAACCAAGGTTGTCTGTACTGTAATATATTTAGATCTTTCTTTTACTGATCTTAGTTGCAGTTGTGTTCTTAAGACATGTTAATTGAAGTGATGTGTCATATAGATATTTGGTCTTGTTTCATTTCTTCAGGTTGGTCGTCAAGAAAATGTGATTGGTTGGTACCACAGCCACCCAGGCTATGGCTGCTGGTTATCTGGCATAGATGTATCTACCCAGATGCTGAATCAGAATTATCAAGAGCCTTTTGTGGCTATTGTTATTGATCCTATACGCACCATAAGCTCAGGCAAAGTCAATATTGGAGCTTTCAGGACCTATCCAAAGGTAAAATGCTTTTGTACAAGTTTTTTAAACCCTGAGAATTTCCAGTTACTCTCACTTTACTGTTGACTTGCTTTTCCACATCCATGTACAAATCTTTCTTCAAGGAGTTGTGTGCCAGTGAAGGGCTCTTGATCCAAAAAATTGGAGCCAGGCTGCAAGAGTAGAAAAAAACTCAAGATTATTCACAGGTATATCCTGCCCTTTTTTTGAATAAAAGCTGAGTACCTTTCATTTCTCAGGTGCTGTATGATATTTATAGGTTTAGTACTTCTCAGTGAATATAATAATAATGGCATATCTGCTTGGTGGCACTGAGTAGACCATTTATATAAGGAATATATAGATTATATAGATTTGGGAAACCACTTCTAAGAGGGTGTTTGAGATAGTATCATTTATTGTCACACATTTGTATCTGTTACTAATGTAATAGTAAACTAAAGTTGTGGGACTAATCCTGACTATAGAATAGTTTAATGAGAAAGGTAATTAGGGCATATTTTAAAATTACTAATGCAAATACTTTTTTCCTTAGGGTTACAAGCCACCAGATGAAGGACCTTCAGAGTATCAAACTATTCCTTTAAATAAGATTGAAGACTTTGGTGTGCATTGTAAACAGTATTACTCATTAGATATTTCTTACTTCAAATCATCTCTGGACAAGAAACTTCTGGATTCACTGTGGAATAAGTATTGGGTTAATACTCTTAGTTCGTCATCGCTTATTACAGTGAGTATAGATTGTTTATGCTTTTTTTCAAGTATCTGATTTGTTTTAGGAATTCTTAGATTTATTATGAATACAGTGGACCATTCCGAATATTGGCCAATTTGGATTTCGGCTGCTTTTTTGGCCGAAACTCTATCCCAGTTTTTGGCCGTCATTTTGAGATTGTCCGTATTGGATGCGTAATAATAATCACTCTTGGGCACATTAAATATCTTGTTTTAGGTTAATTAGATATTTTCATTAATCCATCTATGATATTTTCTTCAAAATTATATAAGAAACACGTTACATAGTACAGTGGACCCCCGGCATACGATATTAACCCTTAAACTGTCCAAACGTAGATCTACGTTTTTTCAACATTTGAAAGTATGTAAAAAACGTAGATATATTTTTTTTTTTTTTACATTTGAAAATGTGTAAAAAAAAACTTTGATCTGTTTTTTTTTTTTTGTTATATTTGAAAATATGTAAAAAAAACGAAGATCTACTTTTGGAGCACTACGCATGTGAATGTAAATCTGTTTGGACAGTTTAAGGGTTAATCCGTTCCTGAGAGCTCATCGTATGCCGAAATTATTGTAAGGCGAAATAATTTTCCCCACAAGAAATAATGGAAATCAAATTAATCCGTACAAGACACCCAAAAGTATGAAAAAAAAAGTTTTACCACATGAAATATTAAGTTTAATGCACACAAGCTGAAGAAGACATGCACAGTTAGTAGTACTCTACTAACAATAGAATACATGACACTTTCCTTTAACCCTTTGACTGTTTCAGGCCCCTTTCTGAAACTGTCATTCTATGTCGCTCAATTTTTGAAGAAAAAAAAAAATTATTTTTTTTATGAAATGATAGAGAATCTTTTCCGATGGTAAATGGACACCAAAGTTCGGGAAAATTTTGGTCGAAAATCATGGAATTATGCTCCCGCGAAGTTAGCTGTCTCGGCGACATATGCGTATCGGCGATTTCGCCGACTTTGAGCCCTATTTTCAGCCAATTCATTGTTCCAGTTGACCAAACTATAACTATTTCTTTGAACTCCATTTTACTATCAGTGAGTACAAGAAACCTCCCATTTTTCTAATTTGGACTACCCAATATGGTGGTCAGAAATTTCAGTTTGACCAATTTCACGCAAACTAAAAAAGATGCCCAAATTTCCAAAATAGGGTCCCGAATAAACAAGGTTGACATTCGTGGCACTAAAATAACCTTTTGCTCTGTTCATTAGTCAATCTCTAGGCCCCTCTTTTATTATTATTGCTTTCTATTTTGATTTTTTATTCATACAAAAAAATACAAAATTTACTGTTATGCAGACTACTGCATTATTTTAAAAATGGTATAAATAATATCGTACACTAGTGAAAGAATATTAGACTCCCCAGTTGACGTGTATTGGACGTGTGGTGTGATTTAATTACTCTGAACATTGGTAAAAATCAAACATTTCCGCTACTTTGAGCTCAGTTTCAAGGTCGTTTTCATCGTCAGAGTAATGAAAATCATCTCTATTTCTGTAATATGTTTTCCATTTTATCACCTAAGACCATGAAAACGCGAATACAACGATAAATACTATACGAAAATACACCTCAAAGTCGGCGTTTTATTCCAAAAAAACGATCAGTTTTTTTGTTCTCATTACGCAATGTGTGCTGCAGGATTTTTTTTATGTGGTGCACACTGACCACACAGACCCATTCTCTCACATGTGGGCCTACCAGCTTTCTCCTGCTTGATTTGAAGCCGCTAGAATTATTGAGTATATATACGTCAGAAACATTGGCTCGTAAGACGTATTTATACGTCGAAAACAGTCAAAGGGTTAATGAAGATCTGGTGGTGATTGCTGCGATGGGAGGAGGGGAGAGTGTCGAACTTGTTTTGAAGGGGAATCCCCTTCCATTAGGACTTGAGGTATCAAGTCCTTTTCCGGGGTTACTTCCCTTCTTCTTTTAATGTCACTAGGACCAGCTTGAGAGTCACTGGGCCTCTTGTCGCACAACATATCTGTCCATAGAACTCTGTACCTCTCGTTCCTTTATGATTTGTCTAAATTGGTTCACAACGTTGTCATTGTAATAGTCACCAGCATGGCTTGCAATAGCTGTGCGAGGGTGATTTTCATCCATAAAGGTTTGCACTTCAAGCCACTTTGCACACATTTCCTTAATCTCTTTTTTCAATTCCATACTAATTCTCACCCTTTTTACCACAGGGATGGCACTAGAAGCTTTCTTGGGGTCCATGGTGACTTATTTTGTAGTTTTTTTTTTTTTTTTTTTTTTTTAACAATTCGGCCGTCTCCCACCGAGGCAGGGTGACCCAAAAAAGAAAGAAAATCCCCAAAAAGAAAATACTTTCATCATCATTCAACACTTTCACCACACTCGCCATTATCACTGTTTTTGCAGAGGTGCTCAGAATACAACAGTTAGAAGCTTACACATATTAAAAATACACAAAAATATCCCTCCAAACTGCCAATCCCAAACCCCTCCTTTAAAGTGCAGGCATTGTACTTCCCCTTTCCAGGACTCAAGTTCCGACTATATGAAAATAACGGTTTCCCGAATCCCTTCACTAAATATTACCCTGCTCACACTCCAACAGATCGTCAGGTCCCAAGTACCATTCGTCTCATTCACTCCTATCTAACACGCTCACGCACGCTTGCTGGAAATCCAAGCCCCATTAACCCACAAAACCTCCTTTACCCCCTCTCTCCAACCCTTTCGAGGACGACCCCTACCCGCCTTCCTTCCCCTATAGATTTATATGCTTTCCATGTCATTCTACTGTGATCCATTCTCTCTAAATGACCAAACCACCTCACACCCCTCTTCTGCCCTCTGACTAATACTTTTATTAACTCCACACCTTCTCCTAATTTCCACACTCGAATTTTTTGCATAATATTTACACACACACATTGCCCTTAGACAGGACATCTCCGCTGCCTCAACCGTCTCCTTGCTGCTGCATTTACCACCCAAGCTTCACACCCATATAAGAGTGTTGGTACTACTATACTTTCATAATTCCCTTCTTTGCCTCATAGATAACGTTTTTTGACTCCAACATATACTCAACGCACCACTCACCTTTTTTCCCTCATCAATTCTATGATTAACCTCATCCTTCATAAATCCATCGCCGACACGTCAAACTCCCAAGTATCTGAAAACATTCACTTCTTCCATACTCCTCCTCCCAATTTGATATCCAATTTTTCTTTATCTAAATCATTTGACACCCTCATCACCTTACTCTTTTCTATGTTCACTTTCAACTTTCTACCTTTACACACATTCCAAACTCATCCACTAACCTTTGCAATTTTTCTTTAGAATCTCCCATAAGCACAGTATCATCAGCAAAAAGTAACTGTGTCAATTCCCATTTTGAATTTGATTCCCCATAATTTAATCCACCCCTCTCCCAAACACCCTAGCATTTACTTCCTTTACAACCCCATCTATAAATATATTAAACAACCATGGTGACATTACACATCCCTGTCTAGACCTACTTTTACGGGAAGTAGTCTCCCTCTCTTCTACACACCCTAACTGAGCCTCACTATCCTCATAAAAACTCTTTACAGCATTTAATAACTTACCCCTATTCCATATACTTGCAACATCTGCCACATTGCTCTCTATCCACTCTATCATATGCCTTTTCTAAATCCATAAATGCAATAAAAACCTCCCTATCTTTATCTAAATACTGTTCACATATATGCTTCAATGTAAACACCTGATCTACACATCCCCTACCCACTCTAAACCTCCTTGCTCATCCGCAATCCTACATTCTGTCTTACCTCTAATTCTTTCAATTATTAACCCTACCGTACACTTTTCCTGGTATACTCAGTAAGCTTATTCCTCTGTAATTTTTACAGTCTCTTTTGTCCCCTTTCCCTTTATATAAAGGGACTATACATGCTCTCTGCCAATCCTAGGTACCTTCCCCTCTTTTACATTTATTAAACAAAAGTACCAACCACTCCAACACTATATCCCCCCCTGCTTTTAAACATTTCTGTCATGATCCATCAGTTCCAGCTGCTTTACCCCCTTTCATTTTACGTAATGCCTCACGTACCTCCCCCACACTTACATTCTGCTCTTCTTCACTCCTAAAAGATGGTATACCTCCCTGACCAGTGCATGAATTACTGCCTCTGTTTCTTCCTTAACATTTAAAAGTTCCTCAAAATATTCTCGCCATCTACCCCAATACCTCCATCTCCCCATCTACTAACTCCCCTACTCTGTTTTTAACTGACAAATCCATATTTTCCTAGGCTTTCTTAACTTGTTTAACTCGCTCCAAATTTTTTCTTATTTTCATTAAAATTTCTTGACAGTGCCTCTCCCACTCTATCATCTGCTCTCCTTTTGCACTCTTCACCACTCTCTTTACCTTTCTTTTACTCTCCATATACTCTGCTCTTCTTATAACACTTCTGCTTTGTAAAAACCTCTCATAAGCTACCTTTTTCTCTTTTATCCACACCCTTTACTTCATCATTCCACCAATCACTCCTCTTTCCTCCTGCCCCCACCCTCCTATAACCACAAACTTCTGCCCCACATTCTAATACTGCATTTTTAAAAAACTATTCCAACCCTCTTCAACCCCCCACTACTCATCTTTGCACTAGCCCACCTTTCTGCCAATAGTCGCTTATATCTCACCCGAAACTTCCTCCTCCCTTAGTTTATACACTTTCACCTCCCTCTTACTTGTTGTTGCCACCTTCCTCTTTTCCCATCTACCTCTTACTCTAACTGTAGCTACAACTAAATAATGATCCGATATATCAGTTGCCCCTCTATAAACATGTACATCCTGGAGCCTACCCATCAACCTTTTATCCACCAATACATAATCTAATAAACTACTTTCATTACGTGCTACATCATACCTTGTATATTTATTTATCCTCTTTTTCATAAAATATGTATTACTTATTA